GGAGAGGGAGAGAGAGCCAAATTTGCTACAATGCTGAGTAACTCAATACTATGTGACAGACATTCCACCTTGAAAAACCTAGAAAATTAGCAAGTGAGCTAATCTGTAACCTGCCCTTTGTGCAAAGGGAAGGGCAACTTCCGGCCACCCTGGAAACTGAGCATATAAAAGTAGCATCCCATCCGCTTCCACAATCCCACCTTGATCTGTAATTGAAACTGCGATTTGGTGGCGGGGGGCGGGGCAGTGAAGGGAAGGCCATGCTTGTGGTTCCCCTACAGACACACAAAAGCTTCTCCTAACTGAAACAGGAATGGGAGGAGCCCTTCAGATTCTGGGAGCTGGCAAAAAATCTCTTAGACCTGGAGGCCATGAAGTGACCATCTGGCCTGACTGCAGCGCTGGCTGCGGCTGCATGTCTTTGCATTCCCAAGGGTCATATGAGGTAAAGGTAAAGGTAAAGGTTCCCCTTGACAATTTGTCCAATTGTGTCCGACTCTATGGGACGGTGCTCATCTCAGTTTCCAACCCATAAAGCTAGGGTTTGTCTGAAGACAATCTTCCGTGGTCACGTGGCCACCGTGACTAGACAAAGAACGGCATTACCATCATGGTGATACCTATTTATCTACTTGCATTTTGCATGTTTTCAAACCACTAGGTTGGCAGGAGCTGGGACAAGCAACGGGGGCTCACTCCGTCACGTGGATCTGATCTTATGACTGCAGGTCTTTTGACCTTGCAGCACAGAGGCTTCTGCGGTGTACTGTGATGGTACAGCTGTAAATCTTACCCTTGCTGAAACAGGAATCCAATTGGTCAGTGGCACTACAATGCTCGGACTACGTGGGCAGCTGCCAATGGACCAACTGCTGCTGAGTAGATGTGAGTACAAGAGGTAGGGAACACCTATCCTCAGGTAGATGCAACAACCTGCATGCCATCTCTGTAACTACATACCTTGTGTCTGCAGAAGGATAGCATACACGCAGCATGTGACATGCCTGGGAAATTTCATTTTAAAATTTATATACCAACCTTACCACCATTTTAATCCCACACTGCTTGAATATCCTTGAGTGACAAAGGTAAGGGATGCTCAAAGCCAGGAACATTTCAGAAATCCATTTAGGTGACAATGGTCTCCATTTCCTGAGAGACTGAAAATGAGTCTCCTTAAACAGGCAGCCCCAAGTGCTCAAGACTGTATAAGGAAGAGCCACAAATCCTTCATGTGAGAAGAGTCTACTGGCCCTTCTCCTCCCTCTACCAAGAATGATCCCTGCCAGAGGGAGGTGGGAGGAAGGGAAAGTTGGAGGCACGGAAAGCCCATTTGGAGTTCAGGTCATGACTCACCAGTTGGATCTCTTGGCCCCTTGCCTGTGACATCAGGGGCTCCCAAACACACAGGGCCCTGCCTTCAAGCCCACACTGTGTTTAGCCCTGCCTCAACCTTCTACTGTATTTGTTATCTTTTCCAGAAAAGGCTGGAGAGGATGAATATCCTGCAGCTGCATAATTCCAGCACAGGAGCCCTAGACCAGCCGCTTTTTGTTTTTTAAGTGGCAAACACCTGTGAGCTTTCCACCTACAACTCAGCAACGCTCTTCCCCCACCCACTCTCAGGCAAGGCAATTTCGAGAATCCTTTGCCTTCCTTTTATTTTCTTGCACACACACTGTCACCAAAGCCGAAGCCCAGAGAAGGGTGTTCAACCCCCACACCAGCCATGGCAACTGGCTTGATCTTATACATACACACACACAGAGAGAGAGAGAGAGAGAGTGCAGAACCATGCTTGCTTCTTCTTTACTCATTGCCAGGTACAGCCTCTCTCTGTGTGCCTGTGAGACTGTTTTCTCAGGAGCCCAAAAGTGCTCCCAGGATAGATGGATTCCCCTCCCTTGTCCTATGAGGATGTGATTATTGCTGATATTCCATCCATTCCACCAGGTGGCAGCACGTGGCAGACTACGATCTTCCCGTCTTCCTCTTCCACTAGAACCTTTCTCCCTTTAGACCTTGGTGGGTTCTTCCCACCAATACAGATGAAGGCTTGTGTACAGCAGCTCTAATGAGACCCAACAATAATCTTCAGAATAATGTAGGAAATAAAAGAGGATGAAATCACACAATCTCTGGTATCTATATACAAATGCCAGGAGTACAGGACACAAACAGGAAGAATTGGAAATCTCAGCACAGTAGAGTAAATATGACTTGATAATAATAACTGGAACTTGGTAGGATGATTCTCAGGACTGGAATACAGCAATTGAAGGATATAAATTGGTCAAAATGAACAGAAAGAATAGAAAAACAGGGGGAGTCGAAATGTATGTCAAAAACACATGTTCCTGCAAAGAAATACAGGAGAATGAGCTTGTTTGTCCCATCGAGAACAACTGGATTAACATAACTGGTAACAAAAGACAGAGAAAAGAAATAGTGGCTCAGCTACTCAGTGGGGATGGGGAAATGATAACAGATGACAAAGAAAGGCAGAAGTCCTCCATTCCTATTCCAGCTCTGTCTTTTCCTAAAAGATAGTTTATGACCCTCCAGGTAAATGTGAAGTGCAAAGGGAGGGGACAGACTGCAGCTTGAGTCCAATAAACAAATAGTGAAGGAATATCTTATCATTTTTAATGAGTTCACATCTTCAAGGCTGGATGAACTCCATCCAAGGATATTGAAGGAACTGACTGAAGAACTTTCAGAGCCACTGTCTATTACCAGATGACTGGAGGAGGACTAAAATTGTCCCTTTCTTCAGAGCAAAAAAGCGGAATTACAGATCAATCACCCTGACATCAATCCCAGGAAAAATTAACAAAAACCCACAGTGGCAACCTTCGGGGTATACATATAACCACTGCAAAATAAATAGTTGAGATGAGATGAGATAGTCTCTTTGGCCATGTCCTCCTACTGCTGACAAATTTGAAAGATAGCCTTTAGCCCAACTGTGATCTAATAGGAGGGTGTCCAGCAGAAGGATACTGCAAGCAAGCAAGGAAGCAAGGAAGCAAAACCTTGTGTTGATAGGACATGTAAGCACGCATCATCTTAGTAACCTGATTGGACCAGTAAAGAATTCGGCCTCTTTGCCAGTCCCCTGAATGGACTAAATCAAGGGGGGGTCTTCTAAATTCCCCCCCAAAAAAAAAACATCAGGGGAGGGTGTTCCCTTGGCTGTGTCCCTCCAGAGGGGCTTGCAGCAGCAGGAGGTGTCCCACCGACTTATGGCCCTGTGGCTTCCCCCTTGTGTTTTTCTCAGTACACACATGAACATGGATGGGATTTTTCCCCCCATCAAGGAGCTTTGCCTGCAGCACTTGCCTGCCCTCTGAATTTTGGATGTTGTTTTCTTTGGTTTGCTTTCTTCCTGTGAATTTTTAGCACCGAGGCAATTTTGATTTGCAGATGAGGTTGCTTCTGTTCTCCCACCTCCCCTCCCCTCCTGTCCAAACTTCTTTGGCAGCTCTTTTTCTCTTTACCTGGGACACGGCATTTGTCAGAAAGGCAAAGTCTTGAGCCAAATACCTGACAGTACTTCAGGCTGCACACTGTAGGTGAAGAGAAGTGCACCCAACCTCAGGTCTTGGGTTCTGCTTAACCTCCAAAGCCAAAGAGGGTTCCAGGGGTATAACAGTTCAGGGCAGCATCCCAAGCGGATGTGAATGACTTCAGAGACACAGCTTTTATTGAATAATTGGATTTTATGCCCAAAGTGGATGGGGTGGTGGTGTGAGGCAGTGCCGTCTTGATGGGGGAGGAGACTGATCCTTGTGAACTAGCGTGCAAGTGTTTGCCTATATGTATGTGCTCGCACATGCACACACATGATGCTAGATTGATCCAGGGCTTTGTGTGTGCAGCAGGGAAGATAA